TGTGTGATGAATGACAGATGAATATTAAAGGTCAACGGGATGTATGAAAAAAAATTTAACCCTTTATTTATAGAGCTGAGAAAAAAATTAGTATGTGTGTATCATAAAGAGGGCGCACATATGCATACACCTATCGTATCACTTTATTATGGTTGCACTTGGTTTTTTAATGGTGGTCAGATATTCATCTGCTTTGTGATATCGTCGCTTGTTGTACTCGCATTTGAATTATAAACTATGTATTATGGAAAATAAATGATCAAAAAAAAATAAAAGTGTGTATATCGCTTATAGTCCATATTTTTCCATGTATAATAGAATAAACTTATTGTTTAATATTTATTATTATGTCACATTAATTATTGTATGCATAATTTCACCCAGTTATTAAATAGTCTGACGTGGATAAACATTTTTTTTAATACATACCACGAATATATATATTTTTTGAACTAATAAGGAACTTCTGAAAATAAGATTAAACACTTTATTAGAGATTAATAACGGTTAGTTAATGCTAAATTATTATATTTTATTAAGTATTAAGAGTCTAAAAGATAGGTGTAAGAGCGTTTTATAATAAATAAATGAAAATTTTTCACTGCTGTTACTCGACTCACTAACTCAACTAAATTAAATTCATATGAAAATTTCAATTTTACTCTTAAGTTTCTGTGCGACTATGTATTCATATCTCGTAATAAAACCAAGTGATCTTCCCAATGACTCCAATAGTAGTTTATTAATTGGTTCTTATGAATATACACAATATATACATATAACTCATAAGCATTTTAAAAAAGAATATTCAGACATTTTTTGATTTTAACGGCGAATGAACAGCAAAATAGAACATGCGAACGAGTTGTTGTTTATTTACACGCCAATATAATATGACGTCCCTTTGTATTTGTGTCTTAATCACATCGATACTTGAATAGTAATTTACGATGTGGTGACGATCAACTGGATGTGGTTCGATTGATCTTAGATTAGTTTTTATACACGACAATCATTGTATTTGTGTCAACCGCACGCTAACAACCGATACTGCGACAGACGTTAAGTCTGTCTGGTATTCAAATTTGTCCTCTGCCATATAATATACACAATATATAATATACAGTATAATATATACTCGAAGAATTCCTTTCAAAACCCGAGTCTCGAGCCACGCGTGTCCCTTGTCATGGACATTCACCAACCCTTTCAGTTCCTCTAATTAAAACTAATTTTAACCCTTAGTCGTTGTTCCCAATTCTAAAACGATAAAACCACCATAGGCGTTAATAGAATAATGCCTTTGCTGAAGAGATAGTCCACATTGAGTTGTCACATTACTTTGACACGAATTAAATGAAAACATTGGAAAAGTTTAAAGCTGACTATTAAACTGGTCAAGTAACGCTTACTTGAAAAATTCAAATGCATACACCTAATTTTTCTAAGGAATATGTAAAAATAATTGCTTGAATATTTGAACCTTTCAACTCAACAACCCCTTCGTGTGCAGTTGAAATTTGATTAATAAGAGTAATTTTTTTATTTATCTCAAAAACTGCTAAAATAAAAGTGTTATATAAATATAAAAGTAATACACTTGGAATAATTTTTTTTTTTTTTAAGAAAAAAAAATATTCCGTAAAATCTCTTTTTTCCCCATTAATCATTAATGAAGATCGAATTTTGTTGCGTCATCATATTGATATATGAACTTTACTGATGAATATAAATTTTGAGTTGATATGCGACAATTTTATTTAAAATTAAACAGAAAACTTAAAATATGCAATATGTACTCACATCGCAACAATAAATACTTAAAATAATTATTATTACAACTTACTGTAGCTCAATGAAGATTACGTTAAAAATAGAAAACATTTTTTTTTTTAAATCTCTTAGATTAAATAAGATATATTTAGTTTTAAAGAATTATTGTAAGTTAAAAATAGAGCTTCATATGATTTGTATAGCCGTTGCCGTGGAAATAGAATCCGCAACGTCACGCGTCTAATTAATATCCTCATAATAGTCAATAATGGAAAGTCTGAATAATATTTCGTTATAAAAAATTCGTTAAAATTTCGTCACCAAAAATGGTATTTTTTTTAAATTAAAGCTATTCTTTTGGTTAGATAATCCTATAACACAACTAAATTGAATTATTATTGACTCTAAATTAAAAATTATTATAATTATTTAAATTTCAAAATTCTGAGTTTAAATATTGATAACTTAAATAACGAAGGTATGTCATTAAAGAGATCATTGAGATATTCCTATAGGATAAAATCAAAAACAACTTTAAGTGTAGAAATTTAATTATTGTTATATCACCAATCCTATCGAAACGAAATTATTAATCTTTACTTATGAATGAATAAAAATAAACCATTTTTGTTAGTGCTATTAATTGATCACAGAAAACTATTTAAATGTGGCGTAAACGTTATACCGATGAAAAAAATCTTATTATTTCTAAAATACTATACTCAGATTGGAAAAAATCTGTTTTTTTTAATGCTATATGCATATGTATATGGATATATTATTATTATATTTTATTATTAGTATATACCAAAATATGTTTTATGGTTTTCAATAAATTTTATAAATAAAATACATACTAATAGTTTTTGTATTATATTAAAAATATTGCATATTTTTTAGTACAGCGTTCATTTTAACGTATCTAAAAATGTCAAAAAAATTTAAGTTTTTAACATTAGTGAACAAATTATTACCACTTAAAATGATTAGTAAAATATTTATATAAAATAAAATAAACTTTAGGCATATTTGGAAATCAATCGTTTAATAACTTAATTTCGTTAATTTTCGATTTATAATTTTGATTTTTAAATAATTTAAAAAGAATTCAATTCAGATTAGATGTGTTATCTAATACTTGACTAAAAATTAAATAATGTAATTAATTTTCTTTGAGTATTTTTATCAATTTATTTAAAATAAGTCGATCAATTACTAAAAAAAAGTTTTATAATTTCAAATGATCAATAAGTGTCTTTTTTTATAGAAAATAAAATTAGAGGGCGGTTCATTACATTTTGATGATTGACTTTTTTTTGCATCACCACTAATGAGTACTTCAAAATTAAATAGTGAGTATTTTTGAAATTAATTAATTTTTTTTTTCCAACTTAATTTATTTTAAATATTATATAAAACATATATCATTGTGCGGAAATGTGCTTCGAACAGTTTTTTAGATGATAATATCACACGATTTTTATGTGTTATAAAAAAATGTCAGAAAAATAATAATAATAATAATAAGACGTGTCGCGGTAAATTGGAAAACACCCACAAACAAAATAAAAAAGAGGAATTTCTTTCGCTTTTTATATAATGTTGTGTAGTGGTAAAATGTATTATCAAAATGTATTTTACAGATGATGGGAGGGGTAGTGATGGTAAGAGAAGTAATCAGATTTAAATTGAATCGCATGTACCCAGAAAATTGATATTCCACCTAGCTGTGGTTGACACGTCTATTTATCCTGTTGGGGGGCTGGTGGATACTCTTTGACAAGTCTGCTGTAGTGTAATTGGAACATCCGGTTCGGGTAAATCTCAGTGCCTCAAGGTGTATACCTTAATTATTTGACTCAATAACACCTCGGTTTCTAGATCAACCAACCGCCCAGACACCTATTCATTTAATTCTTTGTGGCGTTTATCGACTGTAAAATCATTTCATTTGGCGAGAACAGATCAATTGCACACGAGAGAGAGGAATAAAAACATATGACAAAGAAAATTAATCTTAAATAAATATTTCGGTCAAGATATCTGATTATTTAATAAAATATACTATTCGTATATCAACGATTTATGTATAAGACAGTACACGCTTTTTATTTAATCAATTTTTATGTTAAGTTTTTTGTACAAATAATTTGATTTCAATAATTTATTAATAAGTTAAAAAAGGCCAAAAAATTTTCAAAAATTAAAAATGTTCTTTTAGAAAATCATGAAATATCAATAAAGAAATATTGTTCGAGTAGAAATTGTATAATCAAAAGTTTATATAAATATTTTTGAATATTTTAAAAATATATCAAAATATTTTTGACTTAACATATTAAAAAAAAAAGTTATTTCATGAAATCTTTTAAAGATTACATGAAAATACTTAATAGAATGAACTTAACTTGAGAAAATATTATAAGCATACCTTCTTGCCTACAATTTTTTTTATTATAGAATTTTTTTTTTCACATTTTGCTTCTTAGAAACTGTAGAGTTAACTATATATATAAAAAAAGATTGATTCATAATTTCTTATTTTAAGAAAATCGTTTAAAAAATTCTATATTTTTATAAAATGGTATTTACAATTTTTTTAAATTTCTCTACAATATATGAATGTAGACGATTTTAAATTCTGATACTAAATTAAAGAATTTCATGCTCCTATAAAGTACTTTGACATTTATTATAATTATAAAACTATCTCTAATCTCATATCTTTGAATTTAATTTTAAGTCAATATTTCAAAATGTTTTTTGCACATTTTAAAAATATTCAAAGGACAATAAAAATTTTTCAAAAAATATTCGTTCTTATTGCATTGAAGATGAATCTTGTTAATTAAATAAACCAAATTCGACACGTTTGTATAATTTCTAATAACAAGAAAATATTAAATTACGCAGACAAGATACTATATTACAAAATAAATGAAATTTCTGATTATCAGCATATGAATTGAATTCAATAATAATAATACTTCAAAAGTACAAGGATTTCACAGAACTTAGCAACATTACCTTTTTAGTTACATGACTTCCTGAATACTTGTAAAGCGATTGTTAAGTAAATACTTCTTTTTAAAAATCAATTTTATTAATGTGACACTTGTTTCTTAGAATCGTATTTCAATTGTCATGTCATGGCTAACAGAAATATATTGAATTATTTTATCGCTATAAGGTACTTTGTACTTTTATTAAAATACTCAACACAATAATGAATTTACAAAATCATATTATTATTTTTAATAATCAAACTACATAATACAATAGGTATACAATGAGAAATAATTGTAACATTTTAAAATAAATACGGCCAAAGGTATTAACAATAGTTATTCAAGACAAATTTTCTAGAAATATGATGATTTTTCGTTGACATCCAATATGATAATTTAATAATTTTTAAATGCTTATTAACTATTAATATAATATATACAAATATATTTAGGTAAATTACTCAAATCCATTTACGCATAGAATGTATAGAGAATTGATTATTAAGTTAAAATTTGATTTTATATTTACATGTATTTATAAAATTTCTCAGCTTCATATCAGCATTGAAAATTGTTCAGTCTGAATACGAAGTTTTATCTGAACTGGGCGAGAGTGACCTAGGTGATTGAGCGTGAGCGCTGTTCATGTGATGAGATTGGTAAGCCATTGCATGAGGATGTACAGTAGTTAAATGATGCAGTTGAGGCTGAAGGTAATGATGAATGGGTGCAGTCAAAAACCGTGGACTTTGTTGGTGGTGAAAGGATGTCATTGCCGCGGCAGCGGTGCATACTGTGGCTGCGGCTGCAGACATAGGCGAAAATGCTGAATGGGAATCCATAAGTGACGGATGTGGTATTGACAATTGGTCAGAAGTGCACATCTAAAAAAATGGTTCGTCAAGTAATCATCAGATTATTTTTCCTTTTTAATGTATTATAAAGCAAATTAGTATGTTAATAAATTGACCCAATCTAATCATATGTTCATAGGGAAATATAAGACAGATATCTGCCAGTACAATGTTATGATGATATTACATTACAACCGCGTATTTGATTAAAAATAATATTTTGGATAAAAAATAAGGATTGACTACACGATAAAACTAATTTGACGTACCATTAATTCAATTGCCTGTAATACATCTCCATTGCATCTTTGTAGCATAGTCTCAATGTCTGTCCGTCTCTTGTAAGGGAAAACTCGTCTCAGAACGTCAACGGCTGAGCGTCCAGCAGCAGCTACAGCAGCTGCGGTCACCGTTGAGGTATTGTTAGGATTTTGGGAAGAACCATTATCCAAAAAGTTGGGAAAACTGGCAAAGCTTGTAGCCAATCTGGACTTGGATTGTGTATCAATTGGTGAGTTCGAATCTCTTCGTTTAGGTAATGATAGGTTTTCTGGTGCTGCTTCGTTACTGCTATCATTGCTTTCAGCCTAGGAAAAAAATATAGTGTTACAATAACCTTGGATTTTTTTATAGTTACTTTATTTAAAATACGCTTTTGCCACATACATCTGATCTGGATGGACTACTGAACTTGGCCGCAAACTGTGTGGAAGTCACTTGAATAGGGGCATTTGGAGATACACTAGAAGAGCGACTTCTGGTATTCTGATCTTGTTGACATGCCATAGTTTGATCCAATTTAGCCGTGACAGAATCATCAGAACTAAGACGCGCTCTTTTTTCATCTGAAACCAAAATATTCATCCGATTTCAATTGAAAGTTTTGTTTTTGCGGATCAATTAAAACTTTACACTATTTCAAGTTAACAAATTTATTATTCAGTGAAATCGTTTAATGATCCAATCTATTAATAAACATATGCGTTTATTTAGACGTTATTCTAACGAAATGATTCGATACTTAAATAAAATACTGTGGTAAACCATTATCCAATATACAAATTGTATTGAATATTTATATCGTTCATGGAGCAATTACTTCATAAGTGCGTAGAAAAAAGTAGCACGACATTCTATGAACTGCGGCAATTATATTTTTACGGATGAAAAAATATAAAATTGACGGGATAGAGACTGGTAACAACGGGAAAAAAAAAATTATACATCGTTCGAAGAGGGCGGACGCTGTTATACTCAAGTCGATAAAACTCCTTCACTAAATTTAAAGCTTGATATAAAGATAAAAAAAGTTCGAAGATAGAGAGAGTAAAGAATGAAAATTAATTTTATAAAAAACAAAATATATGATTAATAAAACAAAAAATAGTTGAAAATGTATGTCATTGCATTCGTGTACTTATTGCTGAAAACAAAGATTCCTTAAGTAGATAAACTTTTAGAACTTGCTAATGTTCTGTAAGAATGTTTTTTTTATCTCTTATCAATTATTTGATACAAAGACGCACATTCTTTGTGTTTCAAGATCTCTTGAGCTTGTGCAGTTGTCATATAAGATAATATAGTCTTTTGCGACAAATTATTTGACTAATTTTGATAACGTTATCTGTTTTCAACAAAAAGTTTTAAGTGAGAGACCTGGTCTGAAAGAGGAATATGAAAACAACTAATAATGTATTGTTTGTATTGTTATTTAATTAGTCGTTGAGAGTTCAAGTTGTGAGTCTTGTTTTATGTAAAATAATATTACGATTACAACAACCTCTTAGTTAGTTTATTGTCGTTGCCACTATCGCTGACACCGCACTCTAATACATTCAAAAATAAACACAACCCCAAAGTCCGGAACTGTGTATTCTTTATATGGCACGCGATTATAGGGGTGAAGTTGGAGATCATATAATATACACTTAATATATAATACGACCAGCAATCGAGTTCAGGCGACAAAGAATTTGTTGCGGTGACGGCGTCAATAAGAGAGGAATTCGGATAATGTTACTAGTGTGTGGTTATTTTATTATTATTGTGTGTACTAGAACTTTTATATCATATCAGTCATAAATGGAAACCGTTTGCCTTCTTCCTTGTTCAACTACAGGAAGTGTATTCCGACAATAATCTGTCTACTGTAATATCTATTTTTTTGCGTAGGGTTATTCTTCGAGAAAATTTGATATATAACTCAAGTAATAGCTCTGTTGCTAATATTGATGTCAAAATATAAGCATAATTAATATACCCCATACTTATGTACTATTTATAATACTATTAGTTATTTGCAAGTAAAATATGTATATTTAAATTTAAAAATAAATTTTTTTCATAAGTAATGAATCAGTTTTTATTTATTTTATTTTGTAAAATTTTTTTATTTTTGAGAGTTGTTTTTGTGTCCTAATCAATTAAACAATATCGGTAACATTTAGATATTAGATTAATAATATAATCAAAATTGATTATACCTGGACTTGTTCTACCAGTAGCTGTCGAAGACGAAGGCGGCGGGTATATCAGACCCAATTCTCTCGCTTCGTTCTCTTCTTGAGCCTGTTGACGTCTTAAAGCTACTTGAGCTGCCATCACTCTTTGTCTTTCAGCGATAAGTGTGCATTTGGCACAGGCACAGTCTCTCCAGCGGCAGTAACGTTTATGTCCCTATAAATGTTACCCCTTAACATTAAAACTTAAGTCCAAAGCTACAGAATTTTATTAGTAATATTTTTTTAATCATACTATAGAGATATATTTTTGTTAGAAATTATAGTTTGTTTTATTACAATAATGATTACTCAAAATTTATATAAGTTATTATTGTTATCATTACAGGAGCGTTCCTTAAAAGATCCGTTCCTCTCGTGGAGAATTTTTTTCGTGAATATGTATTAATTTATATAGATTGGTACATTTAATCGTGTTAACTTTTTTTATAAACACTAATTTAAATTATTAAGATGGTTCAATGAACGTTACTCAACTATATTCTAGTTATTTATATTTTAATCAGACTTAATATTCAAAGTTAAATAAATAAATAGGAAAATATATATAATTTCACTCTATTTTTATGTACTTATTTTTGAAATAATTGATATCTTTTAGAATCGGACGAAAACCCTCATGTGTGTGGAAAAATTGTACGGTTTATTTTTAACTATTAAAATATGATATTCCATTTAAATTTTGCCAAATAATATGAAACAGTAATATTATACTTGGTTCATAAAATAAATATAAAAAAGCGCAGTAACTTACAAGAACTTTAGTAATAAAATAAAAAATTTAGGGAAAAAATATTTGAAGAATTTTTTTAATTTGTTGAAAACGATAGCAGTAGAAATTAAACTGCAGTAACAAATGCATATAAAATAAATATTTTAGTTGCTATGGACTTGCTTAAAAATATTATAACAAACAACTTTGAATTTTCGAGAGTACTTTAAGCTAAAAATGTTTCAAAAACGTTATATATTTAAATTGTTTTACTGATATTTTCAACTCACCTTTAAAGCAGAAACAACTCCGTGATTACGACATCGGGCACATTTCGGTGTACGTTGATAGCGTTCGGACGCTCGCTGCAGGAAAAACGCGGGCGACAGGCCTCCGAGTACGGCGGGATGCTGAGACATGAGAGCAGCGGTCATATCCACACCACTAGGCAAACTCATCGTTACTGTCGTTATCGGCGGCTCCGACTCTCGGCCAAGGCTTCAGGATCGTTCGACGGGTGCGGCCTGTTAGCCGCGCCCCTCAATTAACTGACTCCGCCCTCGATCATCTCACCCCTTCTCATCTTCAACGGTTAATATCCAAGTTGTCGTCGAACAGTATCCGTTTGTGTACATGTGATCAGCTCTGCACGCGCTTTACAGTATTATTCTACTGAATTATTGACTATACACGCACCTAGTTTGCTATAGTTTAATGCAGAAGTGAATTGCAACACAATACACTTTCATTACAATATTATCATTTAGTAATTATATCACATCAGAGGGTTAACATTTGATCCAACGTAATTTATTAACTGCTACACAAAATTATCGAAGTAATGGTCTAACTCATCAGATGAGTTTGTTTTTATTGGATCGTCGGAGCCAACTTATTTCTTATTTTTGCTCAAATTTGTGTATACACTGAAAGAAATGATTCAAAAATTCCCTTCAGCATGATATTTTTTATACACACCCGAGTAGTACAACTTTGATATAAAGTATAGACAATTTGTACATAAATATAACACTATTATCACTATTTACCCAAATTTTCCCTTACGTTTGTATGCATTAAAAAATTTCAATACATAAATTAGGATATTTTTTTTTAATAGTGAAATTATTCTTTTGACTAAATCTTATAATTCATCCTATTCTGTTCAATAGCCACAAAGCATATATGATACGTGGAATAAACTGTATAGTTGGTCCAAATGAAATTATGTTCAATACAGCAGACAAATGTTTGAAATATTATTATTATCATTGTTGCATATCATAGTTCCCATGTAGAAACCATGTATTTTATTTTTTTAATTATTTAAGAGGAAAAAAACAAAATACACTATTTTTATATAACTTATAATAGAAATGGTTTTTTAAAAACTATATTGCCTCAAGAAATAATAGAGATTATTTAATCGTAAAATTCTTAAAATATGTGTCAAATTCATAGGCATCGGGTTGTTGGGAAGTGAGAGGCTAAGCCCTCAACAATTTTACGCCTTACATTTTAGATTTGATGGAAAGCTGAGAAAGTATTGGTTTTGTGATGGTGTGGGGTTTTTTGTCTTTGTTGTAAAAAATTCTCAGTTTTCACTAGATAGATTTTTAGTTGAACCTAACGTCACGAATATATTATTTAAAACGTTAATAAATTATTTGTTAGGTATTAAACTATAATTGATAATTGGTTTAGTAATTAGATTAACGAATAGAGTTCCATTACTATTCTAAAATGATATTTGAGATATATATGTTAAAGAAAATAGACGGTTATCATTTAATTCAAAATAATATTATTTAAAAAGTTGATTAATTTTGTTATATCTTATTTGTAAGAAATCTATTATTTTTTACCTAATTTTAACGAGTTGAAAAAAATTTTTTTAACTTACTCAGCATTGATATCATGATGTATAAAATAAGTTATATATTATAAAACCTTTTCAATTACCTATGACGATGGAACACAGCAGTAATAAAAAAATTAAGTTTGCCAAAATTCAATGGTACGGTAAACGAAAAGTCAAAATGCAAATTTGGCAAGGGATGTATTTTTTAAAACGTCAAAGAATATTAAAAATCTAATAGAATTATTCTATGTTATCATTTTCTTGTGATGGTCTGCATATTCCATAAAATTTAAATTTATAGATTTTTGTTATTTAAACAAATAAGCTGTCAATGACATCCTTAAATGTTGATGCGTATGGTTTTCATGATTATATATATATATATTTTTTTTTATTATATTTTTTTAGCGTTTCAAAAAATCGCGCGAGCAAAGGGTTTGTTTGTTGTTTAATGCACAAACGGGTGACAAAAAGGGTCATTTTTCGGACACCCTATAACGCGAGCCCTCCATGTCAGTCGCACATACAATTTGAATAAACGTTTGAATTCTGTATAATATCCTTAACAATAATAATATATAGCATTTTCGGACCCAACAAATGGTCAAAAAATTCTAGTTTTGTTTATTTATTGCTATTTTTTTTTATCGATAATATTATGTAAAAATATGTCAATGGTATTGGTGGACAATTGGGTATAATCTAAAAATAATATTATCATTACACTATATTATGTGCATACATGTTAGTGACAGTTTAGGTGTCAATTGATCGTTTTGTTATTTCTGTGGTTTACATGTTGACTCAATACGTTTTATACATTTTTTTCCTTAGTAGAATTATTATTATAAAAAAATATCAATTATTATTTATAATAACTTTATTATTATTATATCGTTGATTATTAATAAAAATAAATAAAATAAAAAATTGGGGAAATGGATAAATAATAATTATTTTTTCACTATTTTAAATAGTTTTCATGCAAAATTTTATTTTCATATACCTGTAATATTATTTCAGACAGTCAAATTCCTTTGTACTATAAAATGTGCTAAACATAGTTCGTTAATTTTGTATAAAAATAATACTTGATTATTTTCACTAACATGAGAAAATAAGAAGTTGAGATAAAATTGCTCTATTTTACATTCACTTTAAATTAATAAATGTTTTAAAGACGAAAAATTTTTGTGAAATTATCATAAAACAATACTTCCTATGATCTTCAAAATGTTCTTTGGTTTATGTACATAGTGAAACATAATTTTGTCCTCACGTTTCTTATAAATTATAACTCATATATGTTAATATGTATGTGGAATGCTTTAAAGTAAGGATATAAAAGTATAGATGATATGACAGTATAACACCACTACTATAAAAAATGATTTGACACCAAATCTGCTAAAGTTCATAAATTGTATATTTGTAATTTTATAAATTCTACGATTTAAAATTTCATTCGAACATTAAAGGCTTGTTAAATTATTTGTTTAATTGAAAATAATGGTATATTATTGCTTTGTTAACTTTACATAGTAAATCAATTGCGTATAAAAATTTTATTTTTTTTTATTTTATAGTATACTATAAATTTTAATTTTATATGGGTTAGAAGTTGTCAGACCTTCCAAAACATTATCAAAATTCGATTTGAGAAAAAAAAATTTACATGCGTAGAAAATGAATATGAAAAAAAATTTCGAATTTTAAAAGCAATATTTTAGTTAAATTAATAGTTTAAATTCATTTATGCAAATTAAATATACAATTAAACAATAAGACGTTTTTCTTAAAAATTTGAGCTTGAGTTTCAGTGTTTATTTATGATACTAGATGGCGCTAAAACAATGCTAAAACAATATCAATAGGCTTAACATTTTTATATCTGTTGTAACAGTTTAAGAGGTTAATGTGGTTATTTTCCAAAAGCTATATTTATTTTAGCAATTCTTCAAGATTTACAAAAAAAAAAAAAAATTTAAGTTTTAAAGCTATGGAAGTTGACATTTTTAAACAAAAAAAAAGCAAATTTTGTCACTACATTTGACTTGGAATTTTTCGGCATCTAACAGAAAATAATCTTTTTGTTTCAACTTATAAAAAAATTTAAGAAACGCATTTTTGTGATTTATAAGTGTTTGAATATTAGTAACAAAAATAATTTTAATTATTCATCATTTTTAATTTTTATCTTTTACATATTACAGGTTATTTACAACAAGCAACGACAAATTATATACATTTGATCGATAACAACTTTTAAATTAATACTTGGGAAAGTTTACATCCAAATAAGTCATAAGGGATGATTCTAAAAAAATATTAAGAGCTAATAAATTAAGAAATATATGTAACTCAAAAAAAATAACATTTTTCAATATTTATTTCTTTTGCAAGTAATCAAGTATTTTTTGATAAACTAATGTATATAATATATTTTCTAAAATTTATTTATTTATTTTCATTGACCTGTATTGTTGTATTTATAGTTTTAGAACAAACTGTATAAACAAATTAAAAAAAATATTTAAAAGTTAGTAATAAGTAAAATTAGATAATTAGAACTAAATCTTGTTATAACAAATTTACATCAAAGGATAAATTATCGATGAGCGCATAAAGAAAAAATTCTTAGAAACTTATACAAAGTTAATACCATTATATTGTTGAATCTTAATAACATAATAATATTATTGAGTACAACCTTTATTTATGTTTGCACATTATCAGTGTCAAATTTTAACATTTTTTGGAGGGTCATAAAGAATAAAATTTACATGGAATATGTATTAGAGTCTTATCCTAATTGTTAAATAATGTAAAAAAACGGTTCTTGAGAGTGATCCAGAAAACCTGGACTACTCCGCCCTATAAATAGGCTACTGCACATTAAAATAATACTAGGTTTATTATTAGCTTATTAGATATAAACATTTAAAGTTTCAAAATTTTGAGTTAATATACAGGGTGTTCAGTAAGTCAGGAAACTGGTTTCTATTGTTCTCATTGTTTGTAACAATGAGAACAATAGATACCCGTTTCCTGACTTACTGAACACCCTGTATAGGTATAATACACAAGGGATTACAAATACAGTTAGCTAATTGATTTTTTATGACATCGATATTAGCAGGTACACAGCATTGTTATTATCAATGATAGTAAGGTACATTGTTGTGAGTTTATAAATACACTAACTGACAATACAAAAAGTATATCTATTGGTAGTCATAATTGATAATAAACAATTCGTGACTGTGACAGCAATATCATAAAAAACCAATTAGCTACCTGTATTTGTAATCCCTTGTGTATTATACCTATATATTAACTCAAAATTTTGAAACTTTAAATGTTTATATCTAATAAGCTAATAAAGTTATATTAAAAATTCAAATGCCATTTACTATTAAATTAAAAACTCAAACATTTTATTAAATTAAAAATATGTGTTACCATTTAAAAAAACAAAGTTGACCCCCTCCAAGGCATAAGGGATGAACTTAAAAAGTATTACATAGTTAAAAATTCAAGAATAATGTGTAACTTAAGATAATGAAAAAAAAAGTGTTCAAATTATTATTATTCTGCAAGTAATTGAGTGGATTATGATAAA